CTTAATAAAATTAAAATATATATATAATTAATCAAAATGCTAAAATCAATCCACAAATTCATCATCTTTAGAAACATTAACTTTTCTATAATGAAGCCTCTTTAGAATCAAACGCAAATTCATAATAAGAGCTAATAAACACCAAAACTACTTAATTCAAGAATAATAACGGTTTCTAATTCATCATGTGAAAAACATTGAACGAAACTTTTTATATTAAATCAAATATATAGAAAATTAGCATAACATAATACAATTCTCGAAAATCACTAATCAATAATTACCATATTACAGACTTATATATCATCACATCTCTATTGTGTATGTGCCAACAAATTTTCTTGTTTATGCTAATGTTAGCAATAACTTTGATGATTCTGAAATTGGTATGTTCGTATGTAGATTTAACGATATGTGTTGATGATGGCTCGACTCCTACTAATGGTTACAACTAGAGTGTATTATGCATTTTAGATCAATATTAGTAGATCTTTACTTGATCCCTTATCTTCATCAACTACAATGTTGAAGTAAAATCTTCTAAATATTTAATCTAACCTACTTATTTGTTTCAACAAATTTAACCTTAATTTAAATAACTAAAAATAACATTATAATTTACTAAATACACTCATGTTCTATTTTATATTTTTGTCTTAATATTTAATCTTAATAAAGTTACAGAGTAAGAGAGAATTGGGGTAAAAGATACTCAGTATCAAAATATTATTCGTTGACAATTTGTTCTTATTAACGCTTAAAAAATGTTTGGGTGAATATGTCACTTTTCAAAACCCTTGAGGGGAAAATGAATATTCTTTATGCGAAATAGCTACTGCATATTATTACGATAAAATTAAAAAGAAAAAAGACATTTATATTTGGTATTATTACGTGATGATTATGTTCCATAAATTTATATTTATTTATGGTATTAGTGATTATAATGTTCCATTAATTGTTATTAATAATAGTAGGTAACAGTGGTTGTCAATACCAAGAATGATTACACATGATATACTACTATTTGATTAATTGTGATGATCATTAACGTTGATCGATCAACGGCCATTTCTGGCTGGAATCATTGTGGTAATAGTTAAGGCTTTATAGTTTGAAAGATGCCATATCAATATTAGAGTTGTTAGTTATGTTGTGAGATTTAAGTTTAATTTTTCATTAATCTTCTAAGAGTAAACGACTTTTTTCCCACCCAAGGTTTGCTTTCATCCAACCAAAAAGTTTTAAAATATCACTTTCTACCCAAAGTTTATATTTCATTTGCTATCCAGAATACACTTACTGATTCGTTATGTTGTGAGATTTAAGTTTAATTTTTCATTAATCTTCTAAGAGTAAACGACTTTTTTCCCACCCAAGGTTTGCTTTCATCCAACCAAAAAGTTTCAAAATATCACTTTCTACCCAAAGTTTATATTTCATTTGCTATCCAGAATACACTTTCTAATTCGACAGCCAATGGAGAGAAAACTTGGTTAAGACTATTGGGGATTTTAAAGAGAGGATGTCAGTGAGTCTTTTGATAGTGGCAGGTTGAATTTATTAGAGAAGCCGTAGTCAACAGAAGAAGTAGTCAATGATCTTTGTTTTAAAATTTGTATTTGATCTTCTTTTGAATTTGTATTTGGTTTTTGAATCTCTAATATCTTATCTTTTACACTTGAATATATACTTGTGATGTTGAATGAAAATACAAGCAACCAAATTCCTTCTTCCTGCATATTCTTGCTTTACTTATATGGTATCAAGGCATTCTTTCTCGTTGCTCACTTTTGCTAATTTTTTTTATTTTTTTTATTTTCCAATTTTAGCTTGTCATAACCAGCAAGCACACCAACATTAGCAACAACTAGCACTTGTCCACAACAACTTCAACTCTACCCCACTTGTCCACAGCAAGCCTCGTCAACCCTTTAAAGCTCATTATTATTATTATTATTTTAATTGTTGCTATTGTCACCTCCAACCACTACAAAAATGGCCGCAAACACCAATGACCCCAACATGTTAATCACCATCAATATCTCCGCCCAAGCACCATTCGAACTCACTAGCACCAACAACTACATTCCTTGGGCACTCCAGTTTCACACCCTTTTTATCGGACATGATCTCCTTGGTTATATCGATGGATCGAAACCATGTCCAGCACCTACTATCACTACAAATGACACCACTATACCAACCCAACTCATACAATGTGGATTTGACAAAATCAATTGATTCTAAATGCTCTTGTTGGATCTCTTTATCCCACTATTATCTCATTTATTACTCGCGCCAAAACCTCCAAAGAAGCCTGGACAATCCTCGCTAACACCTATGGAAAGCCAGCATGAGGACACATCAAGCAGGTAAAGAGTCATCTCAAGAAACTCTCCAAAGGTTCACAAAGTATCACTGACTTTCTCCAAATTGTGAAATCACGGGCTGATGAGCTTGCCATTCTTGGAGCACCAATTGATGAGGATGATCTCACAAAAAAGATCCTTGATGGCCTTGGTGATGATTACAAAGAACTTGTGCATGCTGTTCAAGCTCGAGACACCTCGATCACCTTTCATGAACTACATGAAAAACTTTTAAAGTTTGAAGTCTCTCTAAGAAAGAAAGTTAGAACCATCACACTACCCAGCCTCAGCAAATCCTGCAAGTCGCAACACATGGGTCAGCGCCCTCCTACCAATTCAAGCAACGAAAACTTCAATTGGCGTCCACCACAGAATCATGGAAACAATAGTATGGGTTGGCGCATGTCGCCTTCAAACAACAACCGCTCCCTCACTTCTCTCTACGTCGGACCAAACCCCTCATGAAGCGATCGACCTCCTTCACACCCTTATCTTGGCTATTGCCAAATTTGTGGAATACAGGGACATACGACTAAGAAATGTCCCTCCTTTCGCCTTATACCAACTCAGCCTTCCACCAATCCAAATGCACCAACAAACTCTCCAACACCATGACAGCCTCAGACTCACTTCACTGCAAACATCGCTTCTCACACTCCATGGTTGTTACTTGATAGTGGGGCTTCTCATCATGTCACTATCGATCTAAACAATTTATTTCTTCATGCATCCTACACCGGTTCCGACGACATTATGATTGGCGATGGTTCATGCCTTTATATAACCCATGCTAGTTCTACATCACTTATTACTTCTTCTATTACATTTCATCTAGATAATGTCCTATGGGTGCCCAGCGTGAAAAAGAATCTCATATATATTTCAAACATTTGTACATCTAATAATGTCTTTGTGGAAGTCTTACCCTTTTCTTTTCTTATGAAGGACCTTTGCACAGGGGCAATCCTATTAAAGGGACAAACGAAGGATGGGGTGTATGATTGGCCGGCTTCCTCTCCAATCTCTTCTCCATTATTTGCTTTCTCCAGTAATAAAACTACTTCATCTAAATGACATCATAGATTAGGTCATCCTACATTTCCCATTTAAAAACATATTATTTCTCATTATCAATTAGATTTGTCCTTCTCTATGTCATCTGATTTTGTTTGTAATGCTTGTCACTGCAATAAAAGTCATAAATTGCTTTTTTCCACCTCCTCTCTTAAATCTTCTCAACCCTTTGAAATTATTTTCTCCTATGTATGGATCTCACTTGTTTTTTCACATTATGGTTTTAAAAATTATGTCATCTTTGTTGATCACTTTAGTAAATATATATGGTTTTATCCTCTTAAGCAAAAATCTGAAGTCCAAGATGTATTTATATGTTTTTAAAGCCATTTGGAAAAATACTTCAAAAACGAAATTCAAACAATTTATTCTGATAATGGTGGTGAATACATGACTCTTGCTCTTTTCTTTGCAACTCTTGACATTTCTCATCTTACTACTCTGCCCCACGCACCTGAACATAATGGCTATTCTGAAAGACGACATCGTCACATTGTCGAAACAAGTCTCACTCTACTCTCCCTTACATCACTTCCTTTAAACTTTTGGTCTCATGCTTTTGCCATTGCGGTTTACTTAATTAATCGTATGCCCACTCCCACATTACACTTTTCATCTCCCTATAAAACAATTTTTGGTTCTACCCCAAACTACTCGAAGCTTCACATTTTTGGTTGTTTGTGCTACCCTTGGCTTCATCCTTACTCCACTCACAAACATAACTCTCGGTCCAAACCTTGTATCTTTCTTGGGTACTCTCTCAGTCAAAGTGCCTATTTATGCTATCATCCTTCTACATCAAGAATGTTTGTCTCTCGTCATGTTAAGTTTTTTGTGTCAGTCTTTCCTTTTCTAACTTTTTCCATTTCATCTCCTCGTCCACAACCTGACACTATCTCCACTTGGATTCCTTCAAAGATGACAATTCCGACAGGTCCTGCTTCTTTAATGCCATTATTCACCTCATCTGTAGTTCCACCTCAAGGGCAGCCTTTGTGCGATGATCAATTAGCCTTTACCATCACCACATTGTCGCTATCCACATCATCATTGCTACAAGAATCTCAATCCCCACCAACCACCTTTGAGCCTTCTATCAAACCTCAACCACACCTCAACCACACTACCTACACCAATTCCTCACAACAACCACCACCCATACACACTATGGTTACTAGAGCCAAAGACAATATTTGAAAACCAATAAAAAACTTAACCTTTCCACTCTCCTCAACCAAGCTTATGATGTTGAACCAAACATCGCAACTCAAGCACTCAAAGATCCAAAATGGTGTCAAGCCATGTCTGAAGAATACGATGCTCTTGTTCGAAATGGGACATAGGAACTTGTACATTCTATTTCTAGTCATAATATAGTTGGTTGCAAGTGGATTTTTTGCATTAAACACAATTTTGATGGTTTTATTGATAGACACAAAGCACGCTTAGTTGCAAAAAGGTTTCATCAATGTCCAAGAGTTTACTATCATAACACATTTAGCCCTGTGGTCAAGCCTACTACAATTCATCTTGTTCTTAGCCTTGTTGTTAGTCATGGGTGGTCTCTATGACAACTTGATATCAACAATGCGTTCTTGCAAGGCCATCTCTTTGATGTCCCAACCCCTATCTTTTGTTGATAATGACTATCCCACTAATGTATGCAAGCTTTGAAAAGCAATTTATGGACTTATGCAAGCCCTACGAGCATGGTACCACGAGCTTCGCAAATTTCTTATTGCTTCGGGATTTCAAAACTCTCATGTTGACACCTCTCTTTTTGTTCTCAAAACTAGAGGTCATATTTGTATCTTTTGGTTTATGTTGATGACATTATTGTTACTGGTGATAATGACAATTTGGTTCAACGGTTTGTTCATTTATTTTCTCATCAATTTTCACTTACGGATCTTGGAGAGCTATCTTATTTTCTTGGTATAGAGGTTATTCAAAATGCTCGTGGTATCTTGCTCTCTCAAAGACATTATACTATGGATCTTCTTGCTCGAACAAACATGATAGATGTTAAGCTGGTACTCACTCCCCTTCGTACCAATCCTCCTATCATACTTCAGTTAGGTACCACTCTCTCGGATCCAACAAAGTATAGAACTATTGCTGGGAGTTTACAATATCTATTAATCACATAACCAGATATAGCTTTTGTAGTCAACAAACTTTCTTAGTTCATGCATCGGCCAACTACTGAACATTGGGTTCTTGTCAAATGCCTATTGCGTTATCTTTGCAGTTCCTTAAATGACGACATTTAGTTTTACCGTGATTCTCCATTTCCTATACATGCCTTTTTTTATGTTGATTGGGCTGGCAACAAAGATGATTTTTCTTCTACCAGTGCTTATGTTGTTCATCTTGGTTGCAATCCAATATCTTGGAGTTCAAAGAAGCAACATACAATTGTTAGATCTTCTACTGAGGATGAATATAGAGCCGTTGCTTCTACTGCTGCTGAGCTCAACTGGGTGTGTTCTCTTTTGTAGGACTGTAAACGAGCCGAGCCAGCTTGCGAGCCGGCTTGGCTCGGCTCAGTTCGACTTGACTCGAACTCGGTTCATTAGCCGAGTCGAGTTCGAACATAGTAAAGCTCGGCTCGTGGGCTCGCGAGCCTGGTCCGGCTCGATTAAGCACTGTACACTTCACAGGGTGTTTTGATGATTTTTTAAACTATTAGGTATTAAACTGATATTTTATAGTGAAAAATGTTTTAAAAAATGATAGTTTCCCCCCCCAGTGCAAATTTGATATAACACGATATTGCAAAACAGAGCCAAACTCAGTTCCTGCCCTAAATCCCAAATCGCCAAGACCCAAATCCCAAATTGCGAACCAGACACTCTGAAAACTGAAATCGGTAATCTTCGTCGCCATCTCCGATCTCGGCAACCGGAAAAGGAGGCCCAACACTCTGAAACTTCCAGGTTTGTTTGTTTTATGCTTTATTACAAACTGACATTGTTTTATGAATTTGTCTGGGAGGTTGTAAAGGATGAGAAGATACTGGGCGGTTGAGTATGGAAGAAAAGATTAATTTATTTATGCAATAATTTTGTTAAAAGATCATCTCATTCGTGGCCTTAGAAAATTATATCTAAAGACTCCGCGGGACTTTGTGGATATGACACTGATACTGATGAATTCACTTGCTATAATTTTTAAATATTTGACGGAATTCTAGCGACAAATATTTGGGTCTTTGTGTGTTTGGTTTGACAGTGGATAGTCTTTATTCTTTGCATATCAGCTCGTTACTGTAAAAGCTTGGAAATTGTTGTCTAGTGGGGGCAACCTCAAACAATACGTATTAACAAGACTTGAGTCTCCTTACGCTTTTACGAGTAAGTATAGGTTCATATGACTTTAATTTCCCGCATCTGGCAGTTCAAGTCAGATTTTCGAGCTATTAGAAATGTACCATTAACAGATAATTCACATCCTGGTGAGCCACGGATCATGAGAAGTCTTATGCAAGCCCTCCAGAAATTAGTTGAAATTGCTAGAGTTTGAACCGTTTTGTATTTAAGGTGTAATAATATGCATCTTGACTCTCTTTTGTTAATACTTTTATTTCTAGCATTATGTATATAATTTTAATTTTCTATGCTTGCTTAAGGCAATAAAACTTTTGTTCCTATATATTTCATTTATATCTGTCTATATATCTATTTTTCTGCTCGACTTTTATCCATTTAACTAGTTAGATATCTATGGCATTGAATTTCTACAATAATGGAGATTGCTTAGGGTCTGGAAGCATATATCAATTTATTATTTGTAGGTTTATTTAGCTTCAGTGAGATCTGTCCTTTTAGAACATTTTCAGAATGAAATACATTTTTAGTGTCAGTTTTGACTTGAGTGCTCAGCAATAGTGATTTGTAGAATTAAGAGGGTAGTTGTAGCTTACAATGTTCACCAACTTAGCTTTAAAACATATTTGTGCTAACTCATCTTCTAAGATAACTTTTGTTTTTCTTTTTCTTTTTCTCCCATGTCAACATCTTGATGCATGTGATTGAATATTTTATATTGCACATTTTGAGTGCAATACGCTATGTATAAGAATGTACAAAAAGAGACTTTAAATAGTTGATCAACCTTTTTTTGCAAGTAATTAACCTTAGTTAAGGTTCTGTTATAATCACTAAAGATATATTTATTGTATGTATATATATATCAGCACTTGCATAATTGCATTGTCTGAATATATTTTGGGTATATATTTTTGTAAAATGAATATATATTATGTCAATTATATATTATTTTAACTTTATGATATTGTCTAACAATAGTGGTTAATTCATTTTTCAATTATAGGTATGGCATCGGGAGACAGTTCCTCAAGCACCCCTACATTAGATGATGTCGACGATTGTGTTACGGTAAGAGCAGTCGATCGGCGTAACATTTATGGAAGCACATGTGATACCGAGCAAAGTGTGAGTAGCCTCGAAAATGTTGAGAATGATAATCAACTAAAGAGGAAGAAGAGAGCGAAGACATCAGTTGTGTGGTCAGAATTTACAGAGGTGGTTCTCCCTGGTGGTATAAGGAAGGGAGAGTGTATTCATTGTAAAACAAAGTTGAAAATCACTGTCAGTGGAAGCACAACACAATTCAACAGACATTTGAAAATGTGTGCGAAGAGAACAGCTCACTTAAGGCAACAACAAATAAATTTCCCCCCTTCCAATTCTTAGGGTGGCTATAATGTCTTGCCTGCTCTATGGGGCCAATTCAGTATGCTGAAGATGAGGGAGTTTATTGCACATTGGGTGTTGATGCATGAGCATCCATTTTCTATTGTGGAGGAAGAGGCGTTGAACAACATGATGAAGTACGGGATTCCTGAATGGACTCCGATATCCCGTAATACTTGTAAGAATGATTGTATGAAAGTGTTTGAAAGTGAGAGACAGAAGTTGCTGACCCAATTGAAGGGTGTTAGGAAGATAAGTCTAACCACATATTTATGGCATTCAGGCAACCAGAGGATGGAATACATGGTTTTGACTGGGCATTGGATTGATGATCATTGGAAGTTTAATAGATGGGTGTTAAACTTTATTCATTTCCCTCCTCCCCGTTCTGATGTTGCCATTGCTGATGCAATTTTCAAGTGTTTGATGGATTGGGAAATTGAAGCTAAGGTCCATACGATATCGGTGGATAATGCTTCAAGCAATGATGTTGCAGTAAAAGTGTTGAAAGATAATTTCCAAGTTATAGGGAAGCTCATATGTGGTGGCAAGATGTTTCATGTGAGGTGTTGTGCACATATCTTGAACTTGGTTGTTCAAGATGGTCTTTATCATATTAGACACATTATTGAGGACATCTGTGATACTGTGTCGTATATCAATTCATCGGAGAGTAGACTAAAGGTGTTTGCAGAGATTGTTCAACAGCGCCGATTGCCATTTCGCAAACTTATTCTTGATTGCAAAACGCGATGGAATTCAACATACGATATGTTGACAACAGCAATGCAATTTAGGCTTGTTTTCCCTTGTTTAAAAGAGAGGGATTTGAGTTATCATTATTGTCCCAAGGAGGAAGATTGGGACAAAGTTGAGAAAATTTGTCCTATTTTGAAGGTGTTTAGTGCTGCGTTGAATCTGATATCGGGGAGTGATTATCCGACATCAAACTTGTTTCTAAAACAAGTTTGTACAATAAAAATTATGTTGGATAGTAAGAGTCGGGATGGCGATCAGTTTATACAGACCATGATTTTGAAAATGAAAGAAAAGTTTGACAAATATTGGGGAGAATGTAATCTATTGATGGGTGTGGCTTCTATTTTGGACCCCAGATTGAAGATGAGGGTAATTGAATGGGCGTTCCCTAAGATGTATTCTCAGGCTGAATCGCAGGCAAATATGGATGTTGTTCGAGATGCCTTGTATGAGGTATATAGGGAGTATGTTGATGCCAGTAAAGCATCGACAGCTGCTTGCGCTTCTACATCTACAGGGGGTGCAATTCAGGAGGTTGGTGAGGGGTCAGGGGAAGCGGCAGAGATGGCGAAAAATTGGGATGATTTTAGTAAGTATCTGGATGTGGTTGAGACGGTTGAGCCAACGAAATCGAAGTTAGACTGTTACCTGGGAGAGGGATGCCATAAATGTGTTGGGGACGCTACGACATTTGATGCTTTGACCTGGTGGAAGGCTAACTCAACAAAGTTCCCTATCTTGTCTACCATGGCTCGAGACATATTAGCCATTCCTATTACTACGGTTGCTTCTGAGTCTGCTTTCAGCGCCGGCAGTAGGGTTATTGACACGTACTAATCGTCGTTGGCTCCCAACACGGTGGAGATGCTCTTATGTGGATGTGACTAGAGCAGGACATTGAATGGGGTGAAGAAAGGATGTAAAGTAGGTTACATACTTATATTGAATATTGTTTTTATTAAATTTAGTTATTACTTTATATTTATACTAACTAAATTTTAATTACTCCTCCTTTGTCATTTTCAGGAAGAGCAGCAACCGTTGGAGATCAACCTTCCTATCCCATAAGTTTCTGGGATTCAGAGCATGGTTTGACTGTGGTAGGAGGCATGCATAGGTAAAACTTTTATTCCTTTTGCTTTTGTTTCATGATTATACATATTTTTTTCTTGTCATAGTTATCTTAAAAAATACTTATTAAATTGAACATTTTCTAGAGGCAGGGGGAAATTTTGGTTTTCATCTAACTTATGCCTACTTTAGTCCTACTGGTGGATAGTGATTTTGATTGGTGGATTGTATATGTACTCCTAAGAATGTTATTTGTATATATTCAGAACTGTTTTTTGATTTTGTAAGGTAATAGACTTTTTGTAATGCTCGGAACTGTCATGGTTAATTCAACATTGGATGTTAATATGAAATGTTATACGCAGGCAGATTGCTGTAAAAAATGGGAACTTGGCTCGATCAAACCCGGATAAATGGTGCTTTGATCGAGCCTTATCGAGCCGGCTCGCGAGTCTCAATTTTGAGGCTCGTCAGGCTCGAGCTCGAACTCGAGCTTGACACTGTTGTAAACGAGCCGAGCTCGATAAGCCAAAAGCTCGGCTCGGCTCAGCTCGTTTACACCCCTACTCTTTTGACTAAACTTGGTATTGCTATTCCTCATTGTCCTGTGATTTATTGTGATAATGTTGAGGCCACTAGTCTATGCTCGAATCCAGTTTTTCATTCACGAATGAAACATGTCACTATTGATTTCCACTTTATTCGTGATCAAGTTCAAAATGGCTCTTTACGTGTGGCTCATGTTTCTAGTGTAGACTAGCTTGCAGATGCTCTTACCAAACCACTCCCTAGGTCTCGATTTCTTTCTCTGCGCACTAAGATTGGTCTCTTTAGTTGAGCTCCATCTTGAGGGGGCATATTAAAAAAGGTGCAGTCAAGAGAGAATCAGTCAAGAGAAGAAGTAGTCCATGATCTTTATTTTAAAATTTGTATTTGATCTTCTTTTGAATTTGTATTTGGTTTTTGAATCTCTGATCTCTTATCTTTTACACTTGTATATATACTTGTGATGTAAAATGAAAATACAAGCAATCAAATTCCTTCTTCCTGCTCATTCTTGCTTCACTTATAGGATTTTCATGGTCGAGATTGATTGAAATCTGACTTGTAAAAGGCGGTTGCACGTTACACAAATTACTCGATTGTCGACAATTGACAGGGTTAGTGGGAGCAAGGTGTAAGGGGTTTTTGTGAGTGGTTATCAGGGAAGAGAATGGTGATGGCGTGGAGTCGCAAAGATGCTAGAATCGGCCGACGATTGGTCAAAATATAAACTTTGGGTGAGAAAATTGTATTTTGAAACCTTTTTGATGGGATAGTGTCATTAAGGCAAACCTTGGGTGGGAAAAAGTAGATTACTCTATTCTTATTACCCAAATATGCAAACAAGTATTCAAGGTATCAATGTACTTTTTCAAAAATTAAATAAAGCATTAAATCTCAAACATTTTACATATATCGGAATAGAGATAAGAATATAAAAAAGAACAGTGGTATTTACATTATAATAAAAAAATAAAAATAATTTATGAAACTAGTAGCATATTAAGGGTAAGGGTTATCTCTTAATTTAAGATAACAAATTTCTTAAAATTTTCATTTAATTTTGTCTTCCCGGATCAGAATGTCATTTGGGTTCAAAAGATTATTGCAATATTGATTAAGATAAGAATGAAGGATTAATTAAAGGTACATAAAATAAAACACCTTTTCCATCTAGAACGGAAAGCTAGCGGCTAGCCACTAAAAAATAATACATAAAAATTAATAAAATATGAGTTTGAACTTTATTTAAACTTAAGTATGACTGTAAATATCTTTTTATTTGTGTCGGCAATCTCTGTTCATTCATTTAAATATTTTTGTGATTCTCCTTTAATTTCAATTTCATATAGAGGTCAACGTATTTTTGGTGTAAAGTTAGTTGATAGTTTAATAGGTTTCTGTCTTCTTATGATTGAATGTATGCTTAAATTAAGGAGTAAACGACTTTCTTCCACCCAAGGTTTGTCTTAATGACACTTTCCCACCCAACAAGTTTCAAAATATCACTTTTTACCTAATGTTAATATTATGTTACTACTTAAACCCGATTTCGGTGACAACAATTCTTTTTGTCACCACTGTTTGAACCTCTGGTCTTTTTTCTACAAAACCCTTCTCACCTCGACACTTAATCTCTCGCTGATTGTTAGGCAACGCAAAACTATGATTTCTTATTCTTAGCTAATTTTCGATTGATTCCAATAACGAATGCTTAATCGGTCACCACCATTTGATCCATCGGCCTCCATTCTACAAAATCCCTTCTACCCTAGCTTCTGTTAACTCACCAAATACCTATTGAGAAAGTGAAGTGTATTTTGAGTATTAATAGAATATAAACTTTAGGTAAAAAAGTGATATTTTGAAACTTGTTGAGTGGGAACGTCATTGAGGCAGACCGTGGGTGGGAAAAGGTTAACTCTAAATTAAATATATATAAATTACGTCTATTTCGATGACTTGATTAATTTCATTGTTTATTATTGTTATCTAAACACTGTTTTCACATGTGAACCACTTTTTGTCTTTTTTTAATCTTTGTTTTATTTTTTATTTTTTTACCTTTGTATGTTTACACACACTGATAATTACGTTTCCGAATATGCATGCCAGTGATTGGTCATTGTTTAATTTAATATTATTTTTCATGTTCACATGAATACTGCTGATTTCTGATGTTTAGCCCTTAATCTTGCAAATATATCACTGTTAAAGTAAGGTAAAAGTAAATTCTGTGTTGAATAATTAAGATATTTTTCCCATAATTAATGCTGTCAATTCAGTTGTCGGCTGAGGGATTGTTTTGATCTTAACTCTAAATTTAACGATAATATACAAAAGGTTTTCTTTTACCATCCCGATAGTTCAAAATATCAATATTAAGAGATAATTATTTTTATGAATAATATTACTCTGTAGTATATACAAAGTTTAGTATATAGATGATATGTCATATCATTTTATGTGATTTACTTTTTAGATTGTTGATGTTGTGATTTATACCAAGGAGAAGTGAGTAGTATTCGTAATAAAATCTACGTAGAAGTTTGTATAATACCCGCGATTTCGATGTTGGATCGATGGACAAATAAGAAATCAAATAATAGCACAAGAAAAATATTTTTAAAGTAGTTCGGATGTTAAGCGCAAATCTTATGTTTACTACTCTTGTATTGTTTTCCGTGTTTTCTCTGTGCACAAGTATGACACCTAATATAAATCAAAATCAAATCCCTAATTTGAGTAAAAAATAAGCTTATATCATATTACAATGACAAATTTATAAATAAAGTTAACCCAAAAAAATGACACATGACGTGAATCCATGTTTTAAAGATTTATCGCACAACATAAACAAACTTTGTAAGAGGAGTAGTACTCGTTTTTTATACACAATATTTATTTAAATCTTCTATTTTAATAGTTATAATAAATTGTTTATTATCTCTAATAAATTAAAAGTTTTTGGATATACGATAATGTTTTGCTTACAATTGAGTCATACAAACAGCAAAAATTTGTATAAAATTTATGTAAAATGATTACTATGTCCTTTTTTTTTTGGCTCTTTGTATGACTTAGTTGTAAGTATAATATTGCTCTTGATTATATATAATCAACTCAATAATCATAGCTTCTTAAAATATGTAGGTTTCCTTTTTAGTACAAATCTAGACATAAAATCCAATAACTTACTAATGATAACTTTAATGAAACAATAAATATTAACTAATATATAGTGCTAGACTATGCTAGACTCGAGTCTAACATTTAACTGTATAGTTTGACAGTCTAATTAAAGCATGCTAAACTATGCCAGATGATGATAATCCAATGCATTCCGACTATTTTTTTCTTTAATATTTTTTTATTAAGGACAATTAGGTTAAGTCATGTTATTTTATGGCTAAATATGTCCTTTAAACAAACCCTTGATAGTTTGAGAATTAAAATTAATAAGATCATATATATATAAATAATGTTTTCTTTGAACATATATTAACAACTATATAAATAATTTGATACGTTCATTTATATTTAAAAGTATTTTTCTTTTAATAAGTCAAGTTTTCTTCCTAATTAAAATAAAACCTTTATCTAATTTTATAACCATTGTTAATTTTTGCTACCTAATTCATATTGTATGGTATTATTTAATTGTACAAAGAAAAAAATTTCATTTTGTATATCTTTTCATATATTTTACAAAATAAATATCATTTCTAAAATTTGTTTATCAAATTAAATTACTATCAATTGTTTTGTGTTTCTCTCTCTCTCTCTCTCTCTCTCTCTCTCTCACACACACACACAAAGATATATATACCGTCACAACCCTCCACTTAAATTACAGATGTTCAAATAGAGAATCGAACCTAAGACCGTATGCCTATCCATACTATCCCTAATTTATTGTAACCATCTAGATTACCTATAGATAGATCATATCAAAATATTAAAGTTAGGAAAAAAAGATAAATATAAAAGATATGTATTTTAATGTATTTTTTGAAGGGGTCTAAACATAAAAATAAAATTACAATAAAAATTATAATATTTTACTATAAAAGTTATATAAATATTTAAATATTTTGTTAATAGAAATTTTATTATAATTTAATTTAAAAGTATTGTTATTTGTATCAGCTTAATAATTTGTCATTAATAAATTTTTTTGGTTTTGTTTTACACCTATTAAAGAATTATAAATTCATACGGCCTGCCAGTTACTAGAAAGGTCAGAGGTCAAACACATTTCTCTGACATTTCAGCATTCGTATCATTCATAATTTTGTAGTGTTATTATGTGAAGTAGATAGCCCACCTGTTTCTATTTTTACTTTATAGAGTAAGGTATCCAATCGGATATTCGGATTTAAAACCATACCATATATTTTGACACGTGAGGCAAACAAAATGTCCGTATGAATTATAATAATTACTTGAATAAATATATATTATACATTTTCTTTTATGACAGTTGACAGTGGTGTGGATAAATTTAGGCCGACTTCAACTTACCTTTCATAATCTTATAATTATGATTACTCTGCTAACAAACGAAGAAAAACTTGGATATAAAACTTCCTAATAATACATTTAAAAGTCTTTATCAAATTATTGGATGATTTGAAATAGTTACTTGAATAAATATTTTGCCTATTTCTTAAATTAATTAGTTAAGATGACTTCTTTAATGGTTTTTTGTTGCCGATACTGTTTAAAATTGTTTTTTCTTAAGCATTTACTAATATCATATTTGGGCCAAGATATCCAGATATCTCCAGAATAAATAACAATATTCCAGAAATATACCATTAAAAGTTGTCTCTAATGTTTCCTTTCCCTTTAATTTATCATCAAAACTTTAGATTAAGGAGATCTGTAAACTGCAATCAAAGAAGGCTTGAAACTTCAAAGTTAAAGTGGAAAAAAAAAAAAAAAAAAAAAACTAAAATTTACTTTTATTTACAATGTACAATTTGTTACAGCTCAAAAATGAAAACAAGAAGACTAGAAGCATCATCTTGAAGAAGAGAAATATGAATAAAAATGAAAGTTTGAACCGTGGATTATTGGAAGTTCATTATCTAACTGCAGATATTGCAACAGTATGAGCCCACCATCTGAGATTATCTTTCATGTCAATCTCATTACTCACAGCAGGAATTTTCCAGTTCGTCAATGGATTATTTTCTTTCCTCTCGCTATCCATAAATTCCCAAGCTTCAGAGAGATAAGGCCTCGAAACAGGAGATTTATCAACAATAGTGTCCACTGTTTCATCCATCTTTCTCAATCTTTGTAAGCCGGGAACAATCTCCACCAGTCGCGAATCTTTATTATCTTCTTCCGTGAAAACAAAACCTAGATCCATAAGCCCTTTCAGTTCTTGAAATTCCAAATCCGATAAGCTCTTACTTTGACTAATTTTCTTTTTTCTACGAGGGTTGGCAGCTTTTTTCTTGAAAACATGAGCTTGTTTTGGTTGATCTTCTCCATCTTCTGCAATTTCTTTTCCTGAGATAATTGTTTGAAGCTTCGGTGTGGAAAGAACCGAGTTTGGCGAAAGAGAAAACGAATTGAAGCTTGTATCCGAGCTCAACTGAGCACTCATGGACCTTCTATGAATCGTTGGGATGCGTGAAAAATCTTTAGGTTTTGAGTCTTTTGACGGATTTTCTTCGATTTGGTGATCCGGGTTAGCTTCAAAACTTGATGATCTTGTTGGTCTTTCTAAGATTTTCATCTCAAACCAGCAGGAATTAAACAGCTCCATAACTTTCTCAGAGTCCATCAATGGCGGCTAGCTAAAAAGAAAAAGAAGAATCTATCTATAATTTGTGTATGAGAAGAACCCTGAGAATTTTAGGCTTAATATATAAGACTGACTTATCAGAAGATACCCCTTCAATTTGAACAAATATTACACGAAAATCAATTCACGTTTTCCTTGACGTGCTATTTTTGGATTTAAATAAACCAAATGGGTCTTGGTTTTACTTTTATTTTCCGAGTAAGTTGTTTTTACAGGAAAGTAAAGTGATTGGGACATAAGTGTGGGTAGGACGTGGCTTTAAGTTGAAGCAATATCACATTATTGCGTGTGGAAAACCATGGATTATTGTCTATCCTCAAATTTTTTTTAATTTTTTTTTACTTTTATAACCAAAAAGTGTCCAATTAATCCTCGAAACTCATTAAACACTTTAAAAACTTAATGTTTTATGTAAATCATAAATATAATAAATGACCTTAAAGTGATTTGAATCTAGAAAAAGAGTAAACTTTCTTAATGATAACGTACTTAGATTAGGTGACATTTAACCTTTCTAGAAAATGATAAAAGCTCAAAGCACAATCTATGCTGAAAAAGCCAGACATTTGGTGGGCACAAAGTGAGTGCCCAATCCATTAAAGGATAAACAATCAATCATGCCCACAATCAATATCCCAATAATGCATTCTTCCTTCCCATTCACGTCTCACACTTGTTCAACTCTCTAAGGGAAGGGATATGTCCTCTATTAATCATTCATTCTTTGAGTTTTTCGGCTCTTCCTATTACTCGGGTAAAAAACAAAAGGAGTTTATCAATTAATTAAATAATTATCAGAAAGACCCAGTAAATTACGTGTATTCTTCTTGATACCCAAGAATCAAATTAGGCAGCTTTTTTTTTTTTTTAATTTGACCAAGTTTGATTAGGAGTGAATATGCTTTATAATTATGCTTTCATTATGTTTGAGGTCAATGTGATTAGGCTTCCAACTGGTTGCTTTATTCCAGATTGTACCTTAAACATAACAGTGTAGTCACTGTTGGATTTATGAAAAAAATTACCAAAAAACCCCTCCATCTGTCTTCTTTTCTCTTCCTTTTCTTTCTGCCGCTTCTCTCTCCCTCACACAGCCACGACACAGGCCACAAACCACACTCCTCTCTCCCTCCCGAAACCCCAAAGTCACCGCCACCACCACCCACCGCCATTCCACCCATCTATCGCCATTGCAATCCCTTACCACCACTCGATTTCGGTCCCACTACCCTCCCATCTTTGTCTTCTTCTTCTCCCCCTTCTTCTCTTCTGCCACTTCTCTCTCCCTCCCACAGCCACAACCATAGCCATAACCACGCTCCTCTCTCCCTCCCGAAACCCCAAAGTCACCACCACCACCCACCACCATTCCACCCATCTACCGCCATTGCAATCCCTCACCACCACCCGATTTCAGTCCCATTTGGCTCGATCTTGGCTTTGTTGGCCGTCCTCATCATCACCACAAACACCACCACCCTTCCACCTCCAAAACCTCCATTTTCCCCCGGCAGTGGTAGAGGGGAAGCAGTTGGTGGAGAGAATAGAAGAAAAAAGAGAGAAGAAAAAGAGGAGAAGAAAAAGAAGAAGAGGAAGAATCTGGTGGAGAGAAGAGAAGAAGAAAGAGAGAAGAAAAAAGGAGAAGAAGAAAGAGAGAAGAAAAAAGGAGCAGAAGAAAAAGAGAAGGAATCTGGAAGAGAGGAGAAGAAGAAAAAGAAATGGAAAAGGAAAAAGAAAAGAGGAGAAGAAGAAGGAAAGCAGTCAACGGTGGTGAATTGAGAGAAATGAGTTTTGACACTTTTACCCTTAACCTTTTAAAATAAAAGAAACGGAGTTAGATTAAGGGTGCGTATTTGGAATAAATCAAAACAAGGGTCTGAACCTTTGATTTCGGTAAACCTTAGGTGGGAACATGTCGTTTGCTCGCTTTATAATTATGCTTTCATTATGTTTGAGGTCAATGTTATTAGGCTTCCAACTGAGTGCACTTCCACGCGTCAACCTAACTTACCACACGTGGGAAGAGGCTAGTTTTTTAATAACCAGTTTCCTTCATCCTTATTGGCCGAAAAGGGAAGTCTTTTACTCTCCGGAAAGCCACACTCCACAACTTTGTTTCTTCGTGGGCCCACGTTTTAATTGGGCCATGGGCGTGGATCATGTGTAATGTAAACAACAAAGTTTTTAGGTTGTTTTTATAATAAATTATCGGGAGAAAATTGAATATGAACAATATGTAAAACGTGGCCAAATAAATAAATTAAAAAAATCCAATCATTTGGATACTACCAAAATCATATCATTTGGTCTCGATTATTGAGTTCAGACTTCAGATTTATCGCCACAACAACTCACTACGGATATGGATATATGTATATAATTTTTCTGTTCTTTCGTAAAAGTGTGTGGGTAAGAGTTTGTTCTTTTGTTAGCCATGCATTTTATAATATATATATATATTTTTTAATGACCAGAGTGTTTAAATTAGTTTATGCACACTTTAACTCAATTAATTCTTAAGGTTTATTGAATACCCTATAAATCTAATGTTCTAAAGTAAGCTATAAACATAATAGACGGTCTCAAAGTGATTCAAACACAAAGAGCTAATCAATAAAGAGAGCAAATCTTCTTGATCATCAGGCTAACCCTTTAAGCTTGCATTTTATAGTATTTATAAGGCTCCTATATGATCTTCTGATTATTTAATTAGAGAAAGACGGCAAGTGTAAATCCACTATATATGCAAAAGTCTGGCATCATATTTTATTACTCTTGTTGGATATAACTTTTTGGACTGATACTATTATTTTTTGTTCATGATAATAGATTATTAAGGACACTAATGATAAAGTATATGCATGGAAATTAAATTGAGAAGTACGTAAATGCATGTGTCATAGACTATGCCCGTCTAAACTCTTAATATAAAATTAATTAATGATGTGTACATGTGAATATGATTTCAGGTACATCAATACAAAATATTTATTAATACAAAAAAAAAATCGCATGCTTACTATTCAATTAGTCAAGATTTAATTAGATAGAACTCCCATAATAGTATTATGTTTTTAAATATATAAGTGATCACAAATGGACCGATATATATTCTACATGGAGAGAGTTTTTTTTTGGTATAATGAGGTATCACATGAGTAATTTAACAAATTTTAATAAATTCATTATATATTTATTTATTTTAAAAACTACTAATTACTTGATGTTGGCTATCAAAATATCATGACTGAGAAAATAATATATATGACATAATTAAGTTATTGTAAGGTTGACTTGATATTCCTATTATTATTATTATTTTTGGGAATTTTAAATATGTATAAGAAAGAAGGAATGTACCATATACGACGGAATACTCTAAGAGAAGGTCAAAACTGACTTGATACTCCTATTTTATTATTTACTTTTTTTCATCACAACTTTTGTCTAATAAAACTTACGGCATAAGCTTTTTTCAGTTTCTTGTTTTGGTGGTCTATTACTCATATTTTTGTGCTGTTAAAAATCAGTACTGATATGACAACAATTTAAACCATTTCCTCAAGTGGCCGCTGCAAAACAAACGAGTATCGTGTAGTTAAAAGTTAAAGCAATGAAAACATCTATTAAAGACAAAGATAACATAATAAATAATGTAATTTCAATTGTTAAAAAAAGAGAAATAACTAAGAGTGTATATATAAACATTTTATGTATGTATATATATACAGTATATGCCAAGGCACAATCATATCATACGTTACCTTTGGTTGGCAGGTGCCTGAATCACTAGATATTAATTAATTGCACCTGCAGAGAAGAATTGCCGGGCAAATCTCCTTTGGCAGTGAGCATATGTCAGCCTGCTTCGTGAATTTAATCACGGGCGGGGCAGTGGAGTAGGAGAAGCCAACTGCCAAAGGAGTACTTGCCCAGTAATGCATCCATACACACTTCTTCCATCGAATATAACAAATATTTTTTTATTGCTATGATTTATATGCACTCAACTCACTGTGTTGATGAACAGTTGTCATGTCCATATGAGTATATAGGCGACCAGAAAAGTCTGGTATTTGCCATGCAAACAGCATATTCCAAGCACATCCTCTGTTCCTTTCTCTTTGGAAATAGCACAAGGTCAGTGGTCCTTTCTTTTATTCGCACACCTTCAGCCACTTATATCTGTACTAGGTTTTCCCAACATTAATTTTTTTCCCCTCGCGGAAAAGATAATTAAGTAACGCATCATGCGTTATATTACAAGGAGTTAAGTGTTTTTTATATTTTAATTCCCTAAAAGACTAGTTATGCACGATTTTGATAATATATATTTCAAAGGATATGCCATCAAATCGTTTAAACATGCAATATGAAGTGCGATAATTTAATAAATAATGTGGATGACTCTAAATAGGTAGAAACAATTTGGTCAAGATTTGGATTGTGCTCACAAAAGTTACTGTTTAATTCATCTTGGATGAAGGTATATAAGGGGCATGCATCAGACATGAATCGTATATCATGCTTGCTTAGATCAAACCTCAAAATTTAGATTTTTCTCTAAATTTTAAATGAACGAGTCATGAGGCAGTTCCTCATATAAAACCTTAAAATTGTATCATTTATATGCGTATATAGAGCTTCTGCACGCATGCAGCACAATGTATTCGATCTACTTACTTTATGAAGGAATTTAAATCTTACCTACTATTTTAGATTCATTATGTGGATCACTTTATGTGGAAGCTGTCAATACGTAGTTGAAAGTTGAAAGAAAGGCATCGAATTTATGTGGATCACTTTTAATTCTATTGAACATCGGATATACCCAGTACAAAAATTGGACAAAATAGTGAAGGGTAAACGCAACATTTCTGAAGATCGATCTACCAATATTCTCTGTGTTCGCCATCCATTATTGGTCCTCCTTATCTTCAATTGTGGCCTTAGTATTCATTCTTGTGTCCTTATTTTGTAAGATCTAGCAATATGCGCATTACTATAACTAGGCTTGTAATATTCTAGATTTTTCTTAATTACATTGTACACATAGTTTTCATATACATGCACATTTACGGGAAGTGTTTGGCTAGGGCTGCGTAGAGTGGTTGGAACTCACCTCTACGACGATTATTG